GTTCTGAAATTCTGCCCAGTTCTTTTAATACTTTTGGATTAAAAGAACTGGGCAAAACTAGACTTGAATGCCATTTTCAGTAGCCAGCTATTATTATTTTCTTCTATATAAATAAAAATGTAATGTTCGTTTGTGGGATTAACATAACTCAAAACACCACTGGGCGAATTGACACCAAATTTGGACGCAATACACCTGTCAGGCCAACAAGTGACCACTCATTAAAGCACTGAAAAACGCAGCAGAGGAAACTTAAAAAGCCAAAAAATAAAAAATTACATTACAACTCATTTGCTAAACCACATGTGCACAAATATATACATATATATATACACATATGCACAAACATATACACACATATACACACACAAAACACATATACATAGACTGGGCCACAGCAATGCGTGGTAGGGGATGGCTAGTTATTACTATTATTATTATTATTATTACTATTACTATTACTTTCCTGCTTTGTTGCTGTAGTGCATTTCCTCTACTTCCTTCTCTGCTCTTTTATTTAGCCTTTGGTGACTTAAAATCCCTTTGGAATAGCCAGATATTTCTATACTGCAGTGGTTCTAACCTGTGAGTCCCCAGATGTTTTGGTCTCACAACTCCCAGAAATCCGAACAGCTGGTCATCTGGCTGGGATTTCTGAGAGTTGTAGGTCAAAAACATCTGGGGACCCACCGGTTGAGAACCACTGCTATACTGCCTTTTTACCTTTATTGTGCAGCATTTCCTCTACTGTCCCCTCTGTTCTGTTATCTACTTCAGGCATGGACATACTTGGGCCCTCCTTCCAGGATATTTGGACTTCAACTCAGCCACTTAAACGGGAAAGGAAGGAGCCTGAGGCTGTTAGGAATTGTGGGAGTTGAAGTCCAAAACACCTGGAGGGAGGGCCCAAGTTTGCCCAAGCCTCCTCTGGCCTTAAGATGCTTGGATTCATTTGGAATAGCCAGGTATTTCTATACTGCCTCTTTCCCTATATTGTGCTGCATTTCCTCTACTGCAGTGTTTCTCAACCTGAGGGTTGGGACCAAAGGGGTCACCAAAGACCATCAGAAAACACAGTCCTTTCTGTTGGTCATAGGAGGATCTGTGTAGGAAGTTTGGCCCAATTCTCATTGGTGGTATTGAGAATGCTCTTTGATTCTAGGTGAGCTATACATCCCAGCAACTACAACTTCCAAGTTGTCAAGGTCTGTTTTCCCCAAACTCCGCCAGTGTTCACATTTGGGCATATTGAGTATTCATTCCAAGTTTGGTCCAGATCCAGTATTGAGTGTCCCCAGTGCTCTCTGGATGTAGGATCATTGGTGGAGTTTGGAATGCTCTTTGATTGTAGGTAAACTATAAATCCCAGCAACGACAACTTCCAAAGGACAAAATCAACAATCCCCCCCAACCCCACCAGTATTCAGATTTGGGCGTATCAGGTATTTGTGCCAGATTTGGTCCAGTGAATGAAGATACATCCTGCACATCAGATATTTACATTTTAATTCATAACAGTGGCATAAGTACAGTTATGAAGTAGTAATGAAAATAATGTGATGGTTGAGGGTCACCACAACATGAGCAACTGTAATAAGGGGTTGTGGCATTGGGAAGGTGAAGAACCACTTCTCTACTGCATCAACACCTCTATTGCCCCCAAATTGAGACTTTTTAACATTTTGGGACTGCATCCAGGCCTTTTCTCTGTCCCTGGTTAACATTTTTTCATCCCCCTGTATGCCCTACATTTCCTCCTCCTTCCTTTTGCTGCCTAAGAATGGAGTCTCCTTCTCTGGAGTTTTTGAAAGATGGGCATCTGTGGGGAGGCCTTGGGTGGTGCCTTCCATGTATGTGGGGATGTGGATGGCCCTTGAGGTCTCTTTCAACTTGTATCGTTCAAGAAAATGGAGGAAGACACCCATTTGGAGAAGGTACCCCCAAAATGCTGCCTTCCAAGTGTTTCAGATCAGTTGTGCCCAGTTTGGATAGAAGAAACTCAACTCTTCCATTGCTGGCAGAGAACTATCAATCAATCTATATATATATATAAATGCTCTGTGCATAATTAGTACCTTAAAAACAAAAGAACCAATGAACAAAATCACACCAAATTTGGCAACAAAACATCTCACAACACAAGGAGTGACCATTACTCAAAAATTTATGATTTTGTCTTTTGGGAGTCGTAGTTGCTGGGATTTCTAGTTCACCTACAATCAGAAAGCATTCTGAACTCCATCAATGATGGAATTGAACCAAACTTGGCACACAACTCCCATGACCAAGAGAAAACACTAGAAGGGTTTGATGGGCATTGACCTTGAGTTTGGGAGTTGTAGTTCACCTACATCCAGAGAGCACTGTGGACTCAAACAATGATGGATCTGGACCAAATTTGGCACAAGCACTCAATATGCCCAAATATGAACACAGATGGAGTTTGGGGAAAATAGACTTTGACATTTGGGAGTTGTAGTTACTGGGATTTATGGTTCACCTACAATCAAAGAGCGTTCTGAACCCTACCAACGACAGAATTGGACCAAACTTCCTACACAGAACCCCCATCACCAACAGAAAATACTTAAGGCCATCCAATCCAACTCCCTTCACCAGGGCAAGAAAACATAAACAAAGCCCTCCCGACAAAGAGCCATCCAGCCATAGATATAGATAGATATATATGATTCATACACACACAGATATAATATCATAGATTTGAAAGGGGCCCATAAGGAAGGACAATGATATGTTGCACGTTCCAGGGTGGGCAAACCAGACACTCTCCACATCAACACTGACAAAGACACAGCAAGAAATACTGTTTACCCTCAAGCATAAAGAAATTACATATATTAGAAACCAACACTTTCTCATTACTTTATTTTCCAGATCAACAGACTGGGCCACAGCAATGCGTGGCAGGGGACAGCTAGTGCTCAATACTATGGAATCATGGGATTTGTAGTTTAGCCAACTCCCAGGGCTCCATAGCATTGAGCCGCGGCAGTTATAGAGGTGTCAAACTGCATTAATTCAATGGTGTGTATGCACTCCAAGACAGTTAAATCATACTAAGTGTGGTGTGAAAGGACCTTAGAATTTCCGTTTGGGGAGGGAAGTAGTCCTTTGATGAATGGAATCACAAAACATCCCACATACTTGGGAATGACTCCCATTGAAAAGCCAGCTCAGTGCATACAAAGTCAGGACTCCATATGATAATACTGCTATTAGACTAAGGGAAAAGGTGCTAGACTCTTTGCAAGCAGCTAGACACATTTCAAAAGGCTAGGCGGAGACTTTTCCACCTTTTGAAAAGAGGGATTGCCATAATATGGGCATTACAATTAACGGGGTTACTCCTGCATAGGCAAAATAGGGAAAGCAGGTGTGACTGTTACCAATACTTATGCTGCTAGGTCTGCAAAAGTCCAACCCAATAATAATAATATTTATACCCCGCCAACCATCTCCCCTAGGGGACTCAGGCGGCTTACAAGGGACACGCCCAAGATTACAATTAAAACACATATGTAAAACACTTTAACCAATTAAAACATCAGATAAAAACAATAACAACACAATTGAAAGCAATATAAAAACAATACTGCTGAAGGAAAATATAGCTAAGGTATAGATTCAATGAGTGCAATACATTTTTACAGGAGCGCAGGAAAGTGCAACAATACAGTAAACTAGGCAGGAAATAGAGCTTGCACAGTATTGTCACTCCCAACTAAACTTAGTGCAATATCATTTATTTACTTGCCTTGACTCATAGGATTCAGGCCACACTGGTCCAAGGAATAGTTTTAGAGCTGGATAGACCATGGAAGGCTTGACTCAATGGCATACTCCTTATTTTAATGTTGCCTTCTTGCATGTGTTAATAATATTGTTTAGTTATATACACCTCTTTTTGGTTTGGGGGCAGAAAATGCAGGTTTGTTGTTGTGGCTCAGTGTATACTTTGACTTCTCTAACCTTTTTGCAGTGTCTTACAAACCAAAACAGGTTTTGGATAGCTAAAAGCTATTTGGAGAGGGGAAAAAAATGTTTGCTGCATCAAAGTAGTTTAAAAGATGCGCTCAAAAATCAGTTCAGTAAAGAAACAGTACAGGAGTCTATAAAGCCCTTTTTCTTTAAAGCATGGTGAGAGAAAAAGAACAAGGAAGGGGCCATTTGGGTCTCCCTGGGAAGGGATTTTCTGCAACTAGGGGCAATGACGGAGAAGACCCTGTCTTGTGTAGTGTCTCTGTCTGGGCAACCTCATAAAGAGATCAGGTGTGCCAGGGCTTAACTGTGTATCATAACCGGTGCCTTGAATTGTGCCTGGAAACTGGCAGCCATTGGAGCTGTTTGAGCAGTGAAGTTGTTTCATGCCCATCTCCAGCTTCCATTGGCTGCCATCTTTTGAATTACTCACTTTTCAGAGGCGACTCCATGTAAAAATAACATGCATTAAGAAGGCATGTACCACTAGGTCAGGCATCTACAGAAAAGATGGTAACCAGCAATGGGCATGATTCTATATTGTGGTTTTAGCCAGTGACCCCAAAGTACATGAATGGTGGCACTCAATATGACAGGTCCTTTGCTGAGTCCAATAGAATCATAGAGTACGAAGAGACCCCAGGGGCCATCCAGACCAACCCCATTCTGACATACAGAAAAAGCACAATCAAAGCACCCCTGACAGATGGCCATCTAGCCTCTGCTTTACAACTTTCAGAGAAGGAGCCTCCACTGTATTCTGAGGCAGTGGGTTCAACTGTTGAATAGCTCTTGTGGTCAGGAAGTTCTTCCCAATATTTAGGTGGAATATCCTTTCCTGTAATTTGAATCCATTGCTCCGAGTCCTAGTATCTTGACAACCGCTTGCCAATCCAAACCTAGGAAAGCTGCTCGATTCCATGCTCTGCAGGCGTTGAATTCTGACATTGAATTCCAGCCAGCAATTATAATGATGATGATGATGTTGTGTTTCTCTCCAGGAGAACGGCCATGTCAAGATCAACGGGGATGTCTCACCCAAAGCGGACGGCGAGGCCACTCCACTGAATGGCAACGGATCCGCCGAGCCGGTCAAGGAGGAAGCCAAGGCGGAGCCAGCTAGTGGTGACGCCATCGAGCCGGCACCAGTTGCTGAAGGCTCTGGAGAGGCCAAGGCAGATGGAGAGGCCAAGCCTGCCGCCTCCAAGGAAACCCCAAAGAAGAAGAAGAAGTTCTCATTCAAGAAGTCCTTCAAGTTGAGCGGCATCTCCTTCCGGAAAGCCAAGAAGGAGTCCGGCGAGACCTCGGCTGTCTCCTCTCCCAGCGGCGAGGAGCAGCAGGGCAAAGCGGAAGCCAAGGGGGAGGAGAGCAATCCGGAGGCGGAGCAGAGCGGGGCCACCAATGAGGATGCCGCCGTGGCGGAGAAGGGGGAGGAGAAGGTTGCCACCGCTCCTGCTGTGGAAGCCTCCGCTCCGGAAGCCCCAGAAGACGAGCCAGCCAAGCGGGAAGGAGGGAACGAAGAAGGAGCGGTAAAGGAGGAGGAGAAGCCAGCGGAGGTCCCCTCGGCCCCCAGCGAGAGTCCGGAGGAGACGAAAGCGGCCGAGGCCGAAGCCAGCCCGGTGCCTGCCGAGCAGAAGGAGGAGTAGATTGAGCCAACCCAGCGTCCGTCTAACTTAACGAGAAACCGGAGGGGAGGGGGGGAAATGACTTTTTATTATTTTGTTGTGCCATCCTTTTCGTCCCAGTCGACCCAACGGAACTGCTGCCTTGCTCTCGTCGTAGACCCAGATGCCACTCCACGGCGCCGAGAAAATGAGTCCCTCTCCGGCGTCGAACTTAATGGGTCCCGTCCCCGTCCCCCCCCCACTCCTCACTCCAAGATGGTTCCCTTTCTTCTCACCGGAAGCAAAAATATATTACAAAAGAGAGAGGGGACAGCGGCATCAACACCGCCTCGGATACTTTGGTCCCCCATTGGCATCACACTCCGGAGCCGGTCGTCTTTTACAAAAAGCAATCCTCCCTAAAACTGTGAAAAACGGAAGGATAGCGTCGTTCCTGGACAGAAACTGGAACGCGGCTCCCGTTTCGTGAGGCTCCCAAATCAATTTCCCAAGTTCTTGGCTTCTCCGACCTTTTGGTTTCTACTAATTCTCCGAGCAGCTTCTTCGTCGTCATTTGTCGTCTTTTTCTTTTTTTAATTATTATATTATTATTATTGTTTCCAACGAGAAAAAAAAAGTCCAATAAACCAGCAATGGTCTGTTCTTCAGAACGGATCCTCTTTTTGATCTCTCGGTTTACATTCCTGGTTCTGACTTCATTTTAAGGGTATTTTGTGCTTTTTATAGAAACCGACCGTTGTTGAAGAAGAAGAAGAAAGCTAATCTGGTTAGTTTTTTATAACGTCTTGCTCTTTGGCTTTAAAAACCATGAAGCTTGTAAGTCCACTGTGTTTAATTTTGACTTCAGAGGGAGATCTTTGGGTTTATTTTGGGGGGTGGGATCGAAGGGGGCGGGGCGCGGGAGGGAGGGGCGAGCGTGCTGGCTGTATGACGTGACTCTTGGTTTCCTTTGTTTTTGTTTCTGTTTCCTTGTCTTTGTAAATAATTTTTTATTGACCCAACTTCAGATCTGCCGTTTTCTAACTCCTAAAATAATAATAAAAGCAAAAGTTGTATGGGTCTTTATTGTAACATTTGAAAAGGAATAAATGGTGACCCCCTTTACGGATGAGGCTTGGGTCCTTCTTCTGCTGCTTCTCAAGGCATGGGGGGGGGGGGGAGCGACTAAAATACACAGGAAGAAGGTGGAGTGCATAGCCTTCCAGATGTTGTATGGGTCTTTATGGATGACACTTGGGTCCTTCTTATTCTCATGCTGGGTGGGAGAGGAAGGAAACCAAGGGATTTGGAGAACCGAAGTTCTTCAATTGCATCGTGTTTGATGCTCAAGAAGGCTGGGACTGCATAGCCTCTGTGCATTATTAGACTGCAAATCCCAGTATCCTTGGCAATGGCTGCTTATTTGGAACTCTTACCCCGTTTCATGTTGGGTGGGAGAAGAAGGAAAATAAAGGATTTGGAGAACCGAAGCCCTGCAGTTGCATGGTGTTTGATGCTCAAGAAGGCTGGGATTGCATTGCCTTCCTTGCATTGGTAAAGGTTTCCCCTCGACATTAAGTCTAGTCATGTCCAACTCTGGGGGGTGGTGCTCATTTCCATTTCTTAAACCGAAGAGCCGGTGTTGTCCATAGACACTTCCAAGGTCATGTAGCCAGCATGACTGCATGGCACACGGTTACCTTCCTGCCAAAGTGGAACCTATTGATCTACTCACATTTGCATGTTTTTGAACTGCTAGGTTGGCAGAAGCTGGGGCGAACAGTGGGAGCTCACCCCGCTCCCTGGATTTGAACTGCCAACCTTTCGGTCAGCAAGTTCAGTGGTTTAACCCGCTGCGGCACCAGGGGGCCCCGACGTTATTGGACTGCAAATCCCAGCATCCTTAGCTAGTGGCAATGGATGCTAGGAGTCATTTTGAACTCTTGTCCCCTTTTCCATATTTCTCACTGGAGGATGGGGTTCTGTACCCATTTTTGCTTTAAATTACATGTTCAGTGCTCAAGAATGTGCTGTACCATGCTGGGATTGTATCGCCTTCCAGATATTGGGTTGTTGTAGGTTTTTTGGGCTATATGGCCATGTTCTAGAAGCATTCTCTCCTGACGTTTTGCCTGCATCTATGGCAAGGATCCTCAGGTTGTGAGAATGCTTGCCATAGATGCAGGCGAAACGTCAGGAGAGAATCCTTCTAGAACATGGCCGTATAGCCCGAAAAACCTACAACAACCCAGTTATTCCAGCCATGAAAGCCTTCGACAATACATCTTCCAGATATTACGACTTCAAATCCTCAGCCAGTATCAGTGGATGCTGGGAGTCATGCCCTCAATGCCACCTGGAAGTCCATACAGTCTTATTACTGCGGTGGGTGGTATTCTATACCTATTTTTGCTTTACTTGCTGGGCCTGGATGTGAAACTTCTTAGCAGTCCAAAAAGTGCCAGGAGATGGACTGGTTGGGAGAGGCATCTTGGAGAACTCAGGTCCCCAAATTGCATGGTGTTAGAATCTCAGGAAGATAGGTGGCACTTCATAGCCTTCCAGGTATTACTGGACTGCAAATCCTAGCATTCTTAGCCAATAGCTGGGAGTCATGCTCGCAATGCCATCTGTAGGGCCAGTCTTACTGCGTTGGGTTGGCTTCTATACCCATTTTTGCTGGGTCTGGATGGAAAATCTAGCTGTACAGAAAGTGCCCGCAGATTGGAGGAAGGAAGGGGTTTTGGAGAACTAAAACTCAAAAGCCACATACTCTTAGATGCTCAGGAAGAAGGGTGGAGTTGCAGAGCTTTCCAGGTAGTATTAGACTGCACATCCTAGCATCCTTAGCTAAATTAACTAAATTTTGTTAGCATGGATGTATTGTATTCGGGCATTGAATGTTTGCCTTTTTATGTTTGGAATCCGCCCTGAGTCCCTTTGGGGAAATAGAGCGGAATATAAATAAAGTTTTATTATTATTAATAGTGAAGGATGTTGGGAGTCGTAGCCAAACGTCACCTGGAAGTCCTCACAGTCCCATCCCTGTTCTGGACTTGTCACTCTGACAGGTGGAATTCTGCACCCATTTCTGCTTTTATTTGCTTTGAGCCGGATCTGCGTGCGAAACCTCAGGAAAAGGCTGCACATTGGGTTCTGCTTTGGGGCAGTGGGTTGGCTGTGCAATACAACTACAAATGGCTTGCAGGGAAGGAGCAAGGCATATCTGGAGCGTCGTTTACCCATGTATCACCCTCCTGGTTGCAATAGCCATGTTTTGAACCCTGGTTCTGCAGTCTCGGCGAACTAGATCTCCCTGTCTGTGTAACAGATGTGGCCTTTAGCACCTTGATAAGTCAGGGAATCAATGTTTTACTCTTGGAAAGAGAATGGAAAGGATTGGCGCAGGTTTCCTTACCTATCCCCTTAAAATAGCCCTGCAGTGTTTGCAGATCCCGGCCACACCTTCACTAAATAGTATTTTTCTTTGGGAATCAGCAGGTTGGAAGGCTGGTTTCTTTGCTTTTGATAGTCTTGCATTTGAACGTCCGGGTGCGTTTCCTGCAGGGCGAGCCCAGTCCTGGAGGAATAAAGGAGATAGATCCGTCTAGGACGGGTCTTTTATTCCACAAGCCTCTCCCGTATTGTCTCTCTTATCTGTGGCAGCCATTTTAAACCAAGATGAGCCAGGCACAGAGATGCAGAAGCAATAGCCGACCGAGACATTAGGGCTCTGTTTTAAGATGGAGCCACAAAGGGCTTCCCAACAATAAGGGGGTCGGTTTGCCTCCCAAATATGCAATTGCATCGAATCTGGATTCCCAAGGGCAACAGAGGCTGCAATGCAGGGAGAGATTAGAAAGCTAGAGCATTGCATATGGCTTTGTCGGCCAGAAAATGAGATTGTATTCAGTGTTTGATGCTACTGGAATGCAGGGATGTCAGTTTGGAAGGAGAAAAACCTCTTCACTAAATATCCTGGATTGGATTATATCAGATTCACTTCGGTTGTATATTTCCCTGAGTGTTTTTCCCTTGCCTTTTTGTCTATAGTCGGTGAGCCAAGACTCCCAACTCGTATAGCATCCAATGCCTTCCTAAATGTCAATATATTTCGTATCCATGATCTGAGAAATGTTTCGGACCTAGAAAAGTTAGATTTCCAATTTATTTCCAGATTTTGGAATATGTCTTTGCATATAAGAGATCATACCAAACACCTGATTCATTCCTGCACCTTATAATGTTTACACCATATTTTTTAGGTATTTTTAATTTATCCTTTAGAAAGCAAAGGTTTCCCTATCTCAGTTTCGGATTTTGGGAGTGTTTTGACGAAGGAAGGTTCAAGCAACCCGTAACAGCAAATTGATTGTAGTAAATAGAATAGTATGAGGCATATCATCACCTTGTGACTCATCAGGCTCCTTGCCAAGACATGGAATATATTGGATTAGCATTTGTGAACAAGGAAGCTTCCCTGTAACAATACACACTCAATTAGGTATTTAATCTGGTGTCTTTTTATTTTGAAGCCAATTGCTTCCAATTCTGACCCTCAGAACCCCACTTTTGTGGGGATCCCTGTCCTATAGATACAAATTTCATTGTGTATGTCTAGTGCCATTTGCCCAGGGAATGATGGGAAACGTAGTCCACCGGGTTCTTTAGGTGAATTATTCGTTATGTCCTTTTCCCTGAAGCCTCATTTTTATCCTGTTTTTTAAAAAGTTCTTGTAGTGAGCTCATTTAGGGAAAGATGAATAGATTGGCAAAACCCGTTGTGTGGAACACAACACTGATCGAAATAGTGTGATATTTCTCTATTATAATGTGTGCTTTTCAGAAAAGCTGGGACAGATAGGAGGAACTATAGGAGGAGCCTCCATTAGCGCAGCGGGTTAACCGCTGAGCTGCTGACTGAAATATCAGTGGTTCAAATCCAGGGAGTGGGGTGAGCTCCCTCTGTTAGCCCCAGCTCCTGCCAACCTAGCAGTTCAAAAACATGCAAATGTGAGTAGATCAATAATTGCCTTGGCGGGAAGGTAACGGTGCTCCATGCAGTCATGCTGGCCACATGACCTTGGAGGCGTCTATGGACAATGCTGGCTCTTCACCTTAGAAATGGAGATGAGCACCACCCCTGAATCAGATACAACTAGACTGAATGTCAAGGGAAACATTTATCTTTTTTCCAGAAAAGCTGGGACAGATAGGAAGAACAATAGTTAGGATCCATTTATATTATTTCTCACCTATTTTGAGCGCTTGCACCCATACCAGTAAGTGTCAGTCTCTTCCACTTTTTGAGGATGTAAGTATCTACACTACAGGGTTACATCTATTGCATACCACTTTAGATGTCATAGAATCCATAGAGCTGTAGCACTAGAGAACTTGTAACCCCCCTCCCCCCTAGAAACCCCAGAATACCATATTACAGGGTCATACCCTTTAAAGTGGGTTTGAACTATGAACAATTGTATAGTGTTAACTCTCTCCATGAATGATGCTCCTGGTCTTTTCACCTCTTAAAAAACCTATTTGTGTGTCTTCCTTAATGAAGCCTAAGCTGGCCTTGGTTACCTGCCAACAAACAGTAGCGACAGTCTTGTTCTTGTGGTCTACCGTTTCCTGGTTTCAAGAAGCAAAAACATAGCAACACTATGAAACACGGTTTTTGTTCCTGGGTTATAAATGTCATTTCCTAATTGGTTCTATCATAAAAACATCATTTTTTTATTAAACTGCAAAGACTTTTGTCTTTGTGGGAGAGAGATCCTGCAGCACATTTTACTCTAGTTTTTCAATGAATATCTCATCATATGAGTCTCATCCATTTCAGCATAGTTTGCGGCAGCCACAAAAACAAAGTTTATGGAGTATAATAACTTACTTTGAAAGTAGTGCCACACTTACTTTGAGTGTGGCACATTTAAACAGGAGATAACACTTTCAAACCAGACCTCACAACCTTTTGAGGATGCCTGCTATAGATTCAGCCAAAACGCCAGGAGAGAATGCTTCTGGAACATGGCCATACAGCTTGGAAAACTCACAACAACCCAGGAACCGGTTTTTTTTACCTTCAAATTTTGTTACATACTAAAGGTAAGGGTAAACGTTTTCCCAACATTAAGTCTAATTGTGTCTAACTCTGGAAGGTGGTGCTCATCTCCACTTCTAAACTGAAGAGCTGGCGTTGTCCGTAGACACCTCCAAGGTCATGACTGTATGGAACACCACTATCTTCCCGCTGATGCGGTACCTATTGATCTCGCATGTCCATGTTTTCGAATTGCTACGTTGGCAGAAGTTGGGGCTAACAGCGGAAGCTCACCCCGCTCCCCACATTTGAACTGACAACCTTTTGGTCAGCAACTTCAGTAGCTCAGCGGTTTAACCCGCTGCGCCACTAGGGAGCCCCAAGGGTTACATAGTATAATAATAATTCCCGCATTTAATTGTAATTATAGGAGCCCCCGGTGGTGCAATGGGTCAAACCCTTGTTCTTGTATACTGCTAACAAAAGGTCAGCAGTTCAAATCCGAGGAGAGTGGGTTGAGCTCCCTCTGTCAGCTCCAGCTCCCCATGTGGGGACATGAAAGAAGCCCCACCCTCAAGGATAGTAAACATCAAAACATTCGAGCTTCCTCTGGGCAACGTCCTTGCAGATGGTCAATTTTCTCACACCAGAAGCGACTTGCAGTTTCTCAAGTCGCTCCTGATATGCATAAAATAATTATAATCCCCGCAGCAAATATTTGTCTGTCAGGGAATGAAACTGTTCTGGTTCCAAATTGCACGGTAAGTGGAATAAATAAGGATTGGGTACAGCTTTGAGGTTACAGCTGGGTATTCAGACATGCCCCATTTCCCCCAAAACAAGATGGTATTCTATTAATTTTTGCTCCAAAAAATGCATTAGGGCTTATTTTAAGGGGATGTCTTATTTCTCCAAATTGACTTTTTCAAATGAACTGTAACTTGGGGCTTTTTTTGAAGTAGGCCTTATATTTCAAGTATCAAATAGGGCTTATTTTTCTAACCTCAAAAAACCCGCTAGGGCTTATTTTCAGGGAAACAGAATGTGATTTACATGACATTAACTGGCATAGTAAGTAGTAAAAAACTTTGAAAAAGGCAAAGACTTGGGAAGAGGAGCTATGGAGGAATGAAGGAAGATCCTCAAGAGTTGAGAAAAGGTTTTTGCAGCTTAATAAATATTTCCCATATTTTTATGATCAAACCAATTAGGAAATGGCATTTATAACCCAGGAACAAAAATGTTACATTGTGCAATCTATTGTTATCTATATAAATAAAAATGTAATGTTTGTTTGTGGGATTAACAGAACTCAAAAACCACTGGACGAATTGTCACCAAATTTGGATGCAATACACCTTTCAGGCCATCGAGTGACCATCACTCATAAAAACACTGAAAAACACAACAGAAGAGACTTAGAAAGCTAAAATAACAAAAAATACATCACAACGCATGTGCAAAACCACATATATACACAAACACACAAATATATACACAAACGCATACACACAAAGGGAGAAGGAAGGAGAGGAGAGAGAAAAAGAGGGAGAGAAGGAAACAAAGAAAGGTTGAGAAGGAAATAAAAAAGGAAGGAAGGAATGAGAGGAAAGGATGGAACCAAAGAGCAAAAGAAGGAGGAAAGAAAGAGAGAAGGAAGGAGAGAAAGAAGAGGAGAGAAGAAGAAAGGAGAGAAGGAAATAAAAAAGGAAGGAAGGAAGAGAGGAAGGAGGAAGAAAAAACAAGGAAAGGAGGGAAAGAAAGGTAGAAAAGGAAGAAAGAAGAAGGGAAAGAAAGGTGAGAAGAAGAGGAGAGAAAAGAAAGAAAAAGGAGGAAGGGAAGGAAGAGAGAGGAAGGATGGAACCAAAGAGCAAAGGAAGGGAGGAAAAGAAAGGTAGAGAAGGAAGAAGAAGGGAAAAAGGAGGAAGGAGAAAAGGAATAAAAAAGGAAAGAAGGAAGGAAGAGAGGGAAGGATGGAACCAAAGAGCAAAAGAAGGGAGAGAGAAAGGAAAGGAAAAAGGAAGAAAGAGGAAGGAAGGAAGGAAGGAAAGAGAAAGGAGAAAAGGAGGAAAGAAAAGAAGGAAAAGAGGAAGGGAAAGAAAGGTAGAGAAGGAAGAAGGGAAAGAAGGAGAGAAGGAAAGAAGAAAAGGTAGAGAAGAAGAAAGGAGAGAAGGAAATAAAAAGTGAAGGAAGAAGAGAGAGGGAAGGAAGGAAAGAGAAAAGGGAGAAGAAAAGGGAGAAGGAGAAGAGAAGGGAAAGAAGGAGAGAAGAAAGGAGAGAAGGAAAGAAAAAAGTGAAAGAAAGGAAGGAAGAGAGAGAAGGATGGAACAAAGAGCAAAAGAGAAAAGAAAACACAGGTAGAGAAGGAAGAAAGAAGAAGGAAAAGAAAAAGAGGGAAGGAAGGAGAGAAAGAGGGAAGATTGGCCACAGCAACACATGGCAGGAACAGCTAGTTAATAATAATAAGCTGAGGACCACAAAAAGTGCATTTTAAACAACTGCCGTTCTTTTAACCTCTTAGCAAAATGCATCACAAAATGTCAACTTGCAAGCGTTGGATCTGCTGCTATTCTCCCAAACTGTCAAAAAGGCACTCTTCAAAACCGAGAAACAGACCCATTTTATTACAAAGATTTTCCTTTCCAAAAAAACCAACAAAAATAAAAGTCCATCTTTTTGTTGCATTTTTTAAAAAAACAAACACCACAATATATATATCTCCCCACCCCCCCCCCAAAAACCACACAAATGCAATGATCCATCACCAAGACTAGTATCAAAGGGAACAAGGAAGAACCATCTGGAACTTGCATTGGAGAGAATAGAAAACGGCAAAGACTGAGAGAATTACAAAAATAAAAGGCCTTTTTACCCCCAAAACCCACCATCCCCACTCCCAAAAAAAGACATGGCTATACTGGGTCTCCCACCCCCCATAATGTCCCCTATGGTTACTCGCTGAGGCTTCTGGGGGTTGAAGTCCACAATCTGGGAATCATTGTTTCCCAACTCTAGTTCTATAGCTTTTTGGACTTTAACTCCCAGCAGCCTCTATTGCTTTGTCCAGTGATTGAGGATTCTGGGGATTGAACTCCAAAACCCCAGTGTTTGGGAAGCTCTGGATGCAACTGTGGACAGATTTCACATTGATGAGCACTCAATCTTGTTCAAACTGCACAGCTGTGGCACTTTCATCCCACTTTAACTGTCTATAAGATCCAGGGTTTTGTGATATTAGTACTCTCCAACAAAGAAATCTGCGCCTCTCAAGTTAGATCAAATTGTAGGATTTCTGTGCAAGTTAGGAAGTGGTGCCCAAATGCTGTAACTGCATAGTGCGGATCCGAAAACGTTGATCGTGCTATTAGTCGGCTGCATTTTAGGAGGCCGACTAATTGTAAACAAGGTGAATCCTCTCATAGGTGCACAACTTTCAATTCTATTCTCCCCCTCCCCCCAAAACCCTAAAAACCCACATATTTTCCCCAAAGTTTTATGGCTGTATCCATACCTCAGGAAGACTAAGGAAAAAGCAGGCAAAAGCCCCATAGAGAGTGTCCTGAGGGAACGGGAGTCCTTGGAAAAGAAGAGGAAGGGAAAAGGAGACGGTTTAAAATAACTTTTTTCTTTTTTTTAAAAAAAAGCAATGGCCGCTGGAAGGACGTCCCTCCGAACCGTCCCAGAGGGATCCCGCCTGGTCCCACTGCCTCCAATATATTTATATAGAAATATTTACAGAAAAGTACAAAATAGAACTCTCAGGACATGAGGAAGGGAGGCAGAGAGAGCGAAGTCAACGTTCGGGGAGGGTTGGGTGGCCAAAGGGTGGCCTTCTAGGTTGACTTTGTCTCCTCCTTGATGCTGCTGCTGCGAAGACAGAAAGAGAAGGCGTGTTAACAGCGGGGTCTTGCCAAGCTCGAAAGCAAGGAAACAGCTGACATTTCGAATCCCCCTTCCATCCGTTTGGAAAGTTTAGCTGGTTTGGTCAAGGCCGAGCAATAGAACCAGCTAAATTTTCCCAAAAGACAGAGAAGGGTTCTGCATTTTGCAGTCCTATCTTCAACACAGGGGTTCCCATGATGCTGCCCAGATCTCTTCCCAAGAGTCCTTGCCCCTCTTCTCTCTCTGGATCGTGAGAATGAAAAACTCAGGGTTGCAAGAGAGCCGCTCTGCCATTCTTTCCAAAAGGATGGTGGCTTTCAAATGCTCAAGGCACTCTTTTTCCTTCCTGTTTCCTTCACACGCATATTCCCTCTCCTATCCTTCCATCTTCCCTTGCCTTCCCTCACACACACCCTTTTCTGTCTCTTTCCCCCCCTCCCTCCTCCTTTCTTCTCCCTTCCTTTCTCTTCCTCTTTTTTCCCCTTTTCTTTCTTTCCCTCCTTCCTCTCTCCCTTTTTTCTTTCTTCTCCTTTTTCTCCTTCTTTCTTTCCCTCCTTCTTTTGCTTTCCCTCATATACCTTCCCGTCCCATCCCTTTCTCTTTTCCTTCCCTCCCTTCATACCTTTTCCCTTTCCATTCTTTCATACTTTCCTCTTTTTCTTTCTTCTCCCTTTTCTCAGTCTTTCCTTCCTTCTTCTCTTGCTTTCCCTCATGCACCTTCCCATCCCATTTCTTTCTCTTCTTTTCTTTCCCTCCCTTCACACCCTTTTCCTTTCCTTCCTTCCTCTCACTTTTATTTTCTTCTTTTTCTCCTTCTTTCCTTCTTCCCTTGCTTTCCCTCATGGACCTTCCCTTCCCATCCCTTTCTCTTCTTTGCCTTTGCTCCCTTCATACTTTTTATCCTTTCCATTATTTCCTTCCTCTCTCCCTTTTCCCTTCTTCTCCCTTTTCTCATTCTTTCCTTCATTCTTCCTTTGCTTTTTCCCCATGCACCTTCCTGTCCCATTACTTTCTCTTCTTTTCCTTCCCTCCCTTCATACCTTTTCTCCTTTCTATTATTTCCTTCCTCTCCCTTTTTCTTTCGTCTCCCTTTTCTCATTCTTTCCTTCATTCTTCCTTTGCTTTCTTCCATCCTCCTTCCCGTCCCATTCCTTTCTCTTCTTTTCTTTCCCTTTCTTCATATCTTTCCCCCTTTCTGTTCTTTCCTACTTTTCTCTCTCCCTTTTTCTTTCTTCTCCCTTTTCTCATTCTTTCCTTCCTTCTTCCCTTGCTTTCCCTCATGCACATTCCCATCTCACTCCTTTCTCTTCGTTTCCTTCCCTCCCTTCATACCTTTTTCCTTTCTTTCCTTCCTCTCACTTTTATTTTTTCTTCTCCTCTTTCTCCTTCTTTCCTTCCTTCCTTCTTCCCTTGCTTTCCCTCATGCACATTCCCGTCTCATTCTTCTCTTCTTTTCCTTCCCTCTCTTCATATCTTTCCCCCTTTCTTTTCTTTCCCACCCTTCATCCCCTCCTTTCTTTTACCTTCCCTTCTTTTTCTTTCCTTCCCCCCCCCCCGATGCCTTTCCCTTCTTTTCTTTCCTTACCCCCCGATGCCTTTCCCCCCTTCTTTTCTTTCCTTCCTTCCTCTCACCCTTTTTTCTCCTTTTTTCCTTCCTTCTCTTGCTTTCTTTCATGCACATCCCCTTCTCATTCCTTTCTGTTCTTTTCCTTCTCTTCCTTCACACTTTTCCCCTTTCTTTCTTTCCTTTTTCCTCCCTCTCTTTCTTTCTTCTCCTTTCCTTTCTTTTCCTTCTTCTCTCCCTCCCTTGCTTTCCTCCTTCATACTTTCCTCTCTCATTCCTTTCTCTTCTTTCCCTTCCCTTCCCTCTCTTTATACCTTTCCCCCTTTCCTTTCTCTTCTTTCTTCCCTCCTTCCCCTCTTTTTTTCTTTCTTCTTCCTTCCTAGCAGCAGCCAAGCTGGAAACTGACCCCAAGGGTCCTTTTGTGGCCCAAAGAGAAGGACAAAGGTAAGCGACATTGATGGGCTCCAGAAACAAAAACCTCTCACCCTTTGGGCTCCACTGTTTCTTCTTTTGCTTTATCTTCTTCCTTGACTTCTGGAAGAGATTGCAAAACACAAGAGGTTTAGTTGCAGAAATGTTACCTGGAGATACATTTATTCATAAACTCTAATTTCCTCTTGTTATTTCATAGTGTTCCCCGTTGTTTCTTGTTACCCCCCTCCTAACCCACCATTCAAGGTTATGGAAATGTGGAGAATCTAGCAGCAAATGACATTTAAGCTTCCAATTAAAAAAAGAGGAAAGTTCCTAGTCTTCCTGGGTATACCTGAAAATAATAATACTGATAGTAACAACAACAACAAGAAATATAATAATAATATAATACTAACAATAATAAATATAAATAATAATGAAAATAATAAATGCAATAAATATGTTTATTATTACATGTATTATGTTCATTATTTTCATTATTATATAATAATAATGAATATAATCTATATAAATAAAAATGTAATGTTCGTTTGTGGGATTAATACCCAATATGTCCAAATTTGAATACTGGTGGAGTTGTGGGGGATTTATTTTGTCATTTGGGAGTTGTAGTTGCTGGGATTTATAGTTCACCTACAATCAAAGAGCATTCTGAACTCCACCAATGATGGAATTGAACTAAACGTGGCATACAGGACTCCCATGACCAACAGAAAACACTAGAAGGGTTTGGTGGGCATGAAGGTCCCACGTTTCAACTTTATCTGTCCTTAGTGACCTTGAGTTTGGGAGTTGTAGTTCACCTACATCTAGAGAGAACTGTGGACTCAAACAATGATGGATCTGGACCAAACTTGGCAGGAATACTCAATATTCCCAAATATGAACACAGATGGAGTTTGGGGGAAATAGACTTGACATTTGGGAGTTGTAATTACTGGGATTTACAGTTCACCAACAATCAATGAGCATTATGACCCCCACAAACTGCTTGCCCACAAGCATAGAGAAATTACATATATTAAAAACCAACACTTTCTCATTACTTTATTTTCGAGATCACCAGACTGAGCCACAGAAACGCGTGGCCGGGGACGGCTAGTAATGAATATAATAATAAATATAAATATAATAATGATAATAATGATGATGATAATGCTTGATCATGTGATCTTTTCATTCCCTGGGAATGAAGGTCCCACGTTTCAACTTTATCTGTCCTTAGTGAAGTTGTAAAGCAAAACTGGCAAAGATAAGGATATAAATGGAAAAAAAACCGTTTTTGTTTCATTCATAACTGTTGCTGGTTAAAGAATCGCACTGTTCCTGATAAAGAATATCAGTTGGCAAAATGTACCCAAAAGCCCAGCCTCAAAAGCAAACCTCCACAAAGAAAAGTAAATACCAGATAATGGGATGGGAAAGCTGTTACCCCAGGATCTAAAACTTTGGTCATTGAATCCCCCCAAAAAACCTGCAAATCCTAAAAATTAATCTTTTAATTAGTGTTTTTGGAGTGACCCTTCATTAGAAAACTAGGGAAATCTATTAAAAACTGATTGGAACTGCAACCTACCAACTCCACTCAAAGAAGAGTGGAGTTTAATCTCCACTTGAAGATTAAAGATAAAGGACCCCCATGAGAAGTGGGGAAAACACAATAAAATACCTTTTTTAAAACCATAGTGAACATAAGAGTTTCTATAAGAGTTTCTAGATCAGTGGTTCTCAACCTGTGGGTCGCCAGGTGTTTTGGCCTACAACTCCCAGAAATCCCACGCAGTTTACCGACTGTTAGTATACCTTTCCTCCCAGGGTTTGTTTCCAGGCTTTCAGGATAGATAGATAGATAGATAGATAGATTTATCTATATAAATAAAAATGTAATTTTCGTTTGTGGGATTAACAGAATTCAAAAACCACTGGACGAATTGACACCAAATTTGGACACAAGACACCTAACAATCCAATGTATGTCCTTCGCTCAAAAAAATTGATTTTGTCATTTGGGAGTTGTAGTTGCTGGGATTTATAGTTCACCTACAAAAAGAGCATTCTGAATCCCACCAACGATGGAATTGAATCAAACTTGGCACACAGTTCTCCCATGACCAACAGAAAATACTGGAAGGGTTTGGTGGGCAATGTCCTTTGGTTTTGGAGTTGTAGTTCACCTACATCCAGAGATCACTGTGGACTCAAACAATGATGGATCTGGACCAAACTCTACACAAATACTCAATATGCTTAAATGCGAACACTGGTGGAGTTTGGGGAAAATAGAATCTTGACATTTGGGAGTTGTAGTTGCTGGGATTTATAGTTCACTTACAATCACAAAGCATTCTGAACCCCACCAATGATAGAAATGGGCCAAATCTCCCACACAGAACCCCCAATGTGGGCCACAGCAACGCGTGGAAGGGGACGGCTAGTATATATGTATAATTGGAAGCTTTTGAAAGAGTTGGAACAGTTAACGATTCCTTTAGTTTTAAACTTTCTCAAGACTTCTGAAGATGGTACAGGCATTAAGTAACTAAGCTTCTCAGTCACATGTAGATTTCCGCGTGATGCCGATTTTTATTTAAAGCGACATCAAGGAGACAGAACTGTCAAATTGCAAAAGCTGCGAAGACTCACTTTGCTGTTGCCCTGAGAACGAGGAAGCAACAGATTGAGGATTTGCAGGCAGACGGCGTCTTACGAAATGACATGTCCACACACTTAAAAGTTTACATAACTTGGGATACTGGGACCCCATTTTCTCAGAAACATGTCCCCAAAAGGTCGGATTTTGAATAGGCTGAGACTGAAAAAGGAGTTGCATGGATGTCTCAGTTTGTTTTCTGCTACAGTTAATATCTAAGATACTAACAAGATGAGACCTTGAAGCTACTCCCCCGAATGTGTAAGAATACAGAGATAGGGAGGCTGGGAACTCAAAGATATAGACACTTTGCACATGCTCTAAGCACTCAATGCTATTGGATACATTTCTAAGGTCTAGTTTCGGTTCAGATTCCGAGAGCAGCTTCTCCACAACAGCAAGGAATATCCCATTTACTCAAATCTAACACTCACCTTTTTTGGGCTAAATGACCCCACCAAAATTAACCTTGTCTCTTCTTTAATTGCCATGGTTCAATGATATGTGATCCTGGGATTAATAATTTGACAGCGTAGATGCATCTTAAATGTGTGGTTTAAGGTATTCTAGCTGCATGTGTATATGTGTGTGTGTATATATATATATATTATATGACATATTACACTTGATCTTAGCCAAAAGGTTGAGAAGCAATATATATGACCTACATAAGATACAAGGGCCCCCTGGTGGTGCAGTGGTTTAAACCGCTGAGCTGCTGAACTTGCTGACCAAAAAGCTGGCGATTCAAATTCAGGGAGTGGGGTGAGCTCCTGCTGTTAGCCCCAGCTTCTGCCAACCTAGCAGTTTGAAACATACAAATGTGAGTTGATCAATAGGTACCACTTCTGTGGGAAGGTAATGGCTCTCCATGCAGTCACGGTGGCCACATGACCTTGGAGGTGTCTACAGACAATGCCGGCTTTTCAGCTTAGAAATGGAAATGAAGACCAACCCCAAGAGTCGGACACAACTAGACTTAATGTCAGGGGAAAGCTTTACCTTTATATATATATATTTACCTATATTTTACCTTTACCTATATATATGATATATGTTTTGTGTGCATATATCGATATGTATATATGTTATTTTCCTCCATGTCAAGGGGTGCATCTACACTGTAGAATGGATGCAGTCTGATGCAACTTTCATAGCCATGGCTCAATGGAATGGCATAGCTGGAGCTGCAGTTTGGCAAAACAGCAGCACTGTTAGACAGAGAAGTCTCAGGACCCTGTGGAACTACAACTCCATAGCATTCCATAGCATTGAGCCATAGAAGCTAAAGCGGTGTCAAACTGCCTCAATTCTCTAGTGCAAATGCATCCTGAGATTGTGTTGGAAGGAGCCACATAATCTAGAGCATAGATAGTATGGGATGGATCGATCCTTAAAAGCAGCCCATAAGAAAAAAGATAGATTTAGCAATTAACCTGCATATATTCGAGTATAAGCCCACCCGAATTTAAGCCGAGGCACCTAATTTTACCACAAAAAACTGGAAAAACCTATTAATTCGAGTATAAGCTGAGGGTGGGAAATGCAGCAGCTACTGATAAATTTCAAACTAAAAATAGATAAATGACATTAATTAAGGCATCAGTGGGTTAAATGTTTTTGAATATTTACATAAAACTGTAATTTAAGATAAGACTGCCCAACTCTGATTAAACCATTATTTTAACCTTCTTCAATGTAAATGTGCTTACGTATAATAATAAAGTAAAATAATAGAGTAAAATAATAAATGTAATAATAGTGTAAAATAATAAATGTAATAAATAATAATAGAGTAAAATAGTGTAAATGTAATAACAATAGAGTAAAATAATAGAGTAAAATAATAAATGTAATAATAATAATAATAATAATAATAATAATAATAATAATAATGCATCACACAGTCCTAAACACTTGGGAAGTGTTCAACTTGTGAATTTGTGATATGAAATCCAGCATATATATCTTGCTTGCTGTGTCATACTGTGTTTTTGTGTCAGTAAAATAATAATAATAATAATAACAGAGTAAAATAATAAATAACCTTGACTCAAGTATAAGCCACGGGGGGCTTTATCAGCCTTAAAAAAAGGCTGAAAAACTTGGCTTATACTCGAGTATATGTGGTACCTGTCTTTCTTTTTCTCTCTTTTTGCAAACATACTCAAGGGTTTGGAACTGGGAAACTTTGCCCTTCCTGCAAAATAAGAACTGTGCAAGTAGTTTGAGTTCCCCACCTTTCTTCTCCTCCTCTTTCTCTTCCTCCTCAGTCTTTGCACGCTTGGCCTTCTTGAAGTTGGCCACATTCTTGCGCCCGCCTTCGCCCTCGTCCTCGGAATCAGAGAATTCTTCATCACACGCAATCCTCTTATCCGAGGAGCGGACTGCAAGGCAAATGGAGAGAAAAAGAGTATGTATCAGAAGCGCTAAGTTTCCGGGAGAGGAAGGAAAATGGGGGTCAAATCCTGAAAAGCCTCACAAAGTCCTCAGCTCTAATACAGAGCTTTTCAAACTTTTCATATTGCTGTCAAGCTGTCGTGGCATGCCTCCTTTCGTGACATGGTTATTCAGTCAGAGGTTAAACCAACCCCTTAGAAGAGTTTCATACCATATATATATCAAATCAAATCATTTATTTCAGTCACAGACTAGCACAAGAAATAGAAGTCACATTTTCATACAAACTTGGTACGTTTAGTACATTAAAAATATAAATATAGCTACTGAAACACAATATGGGTGAGGGAGCGGAAGGGGAAACAGGGTAAAAACATACAATGCACAGATCCATCAGCAAATTATAGATTCAGGGAAGATGATTATTGGACACACAGTTATATATATATGATTGTAACACTATGTAAACGATTTTTATTCCTGGGTTATAAATGTCATTTTCTAATTGGTTCTATCATAAAAAAAAAACATGGGGAAAGTTTATTAAACTACAAAAACTTTGTGCAGGAGGGACATCCTGCAGCACATTTTGCTATCACTGAATCACAACCAATTCAGTTTGTGGCAGTCACAAAAACAAAGTTTCTGGAATATAACAGCTACTTTCAAAGTAGGTCCTTACTTTGAAAGTAGTTGTTACACTCAGAAACTTCATTTTTATGGCTGCACAATTAAACAGAAAATAACACTTTCAAACCAAGAACAGAACATTTTTCAAATTTTGTTACATAGTGTAATATACCCTATTTACTCAATTCTAATGTTCACTATCAACTGGAGCTGACAGAGGGAGCTCATCCGTACTCTCTTTAACCCACTGCACCACCGGGGGCTCCTTATTATTATTATTTATAATTCAATATGTTATGGAGCCCCCGGTGGCGCAGTAGGTTAAACCCTTGTGCTGGCAGGACTGAAGACCGTCAGCTCGTAGTTTCGAATCCGGAGAGAGCATGGGGACGAGAGAGAGGGCCTTTTTGGAGGTGGCCCCTCAACTCTGGAACTCACTCCCTAAGGACATCAGGCATGCCCCATCTTTGGCAGTCTTTAAGGGGAGCTTGAAGTCGTGGTTGTTCCAGTGTGCCTTCCCAGAATAATGATCCCATAGCACTTCATCCTCCAAAGCACTTTATACTGTTTTAGGTTTGCTCGTATGTTCCCACAAACTGCCCCATCATTTTCGTCCATGTCCAGCATTATTTTTTAATATTTTAAATTTTAATTACATTTGGCCTACCCATACATTTTAAAGTGTATTGTCCTATTAATAATGCTTATGTTATTGTTTTATTGTTTTGTTGTTTTTAAATTGCTTGTATTGTTATTGTTACTGCTTGTGTTGTATTTTGGGCTTGGCCTCATGTAAGCCGCACCGAGTCCCCTGGGGAGATGGTAGCGGGGTATAAATAAAGTATTATTATTATTATTATTATTATTATTATTATTATTATAGTATGGATGAGCTCCCTCTATCATCTCCAGCTCCTCATGCAGGGACATGAGAGAAGCCTCCCACAAGGATGGTAACACATCAAAAAAACATCTGGGCATCCCCTGGGCAATGTCCTTGCAGACGGCCAATTCTCTCACACCAGAAGCAACTTGCAGTTTCTCAAGTTGCTCCTGACACGATTTTAAAAAATTCAATACATCTATGTCATGTGCTACAACAGAGGATAAATGTGTCCATCCGGCTGATGCGGATCTTAACTGGGGCTTATTTTGGGGGGAGGGTTTATATTATGAGCGTTATGCTAGGACTTATTTTCCAGGTAGGGCTTATTTTGGGGGAAACAGGGCAGAAAGAGGCTGATTTGTCTTATGCTCCTTCTGAGAAATAGAGAGCGACTCCCTGAGAGATGCAGAGGCGAGCAATGGTCACCAAGGTTTGCCTGGCTTTTCTTCCAGTAATAATCCCAACAAGCATGTGTATTTGTTACTCACTGGAAATCCGCTTGTCGGGATCTTCTTCCTCTTCATCCGCACTATCTTCTGGCACAGCATCTTCTGGAATGGGTTGCATCTGGACCCCCGGAGCGTGAGGAAGCATCCTCAGGTTCTCAAAGAGACGCTGCCTGGCATGAAGAAGCCACAGAGGCGTCAGATAATCCAAAAGGGACAGCGACAAGACAGTAAAACCTCCCTCAAGACCCACAGGACTCACTTAATTTTCTCCAGATACTCGTTGGTGTTTTGATTTGTCATGTTGGAAGGGCTGATGTGGAGTTTGAAGTCTGGGCCAAAGTATTCAAAGTAATCGTTGTAAGGAAGCTCTGCGGGAGAAATTTTACGTTCTTTTAACGGAGTCGGAACACTTGTTTATTAGTTTGTGCAAATTTCACATCCCACCAAAGGACCCCAAGGCAGAGAATAACATTTAACAGAGACTAAAAGAAAAGAGCAAAAGTTTTGAAAGAAATTAAGCAGCAACATTATTAAAAATAGAGTTAAAACCCATTTTAAAGTAGCTTTGAAATGCCATTTTAAAAGAACAGGGTCACCCCAACGATCAATACTATTTCGCTCTTACTGTTACTAAAATAATATATACTTTATTTATAACCCGCCCTATCTCCCTGAGGGGATTCAGGGTGCTGTCCAGCAAAATAAACACAGCGGCAAACATTTAATGCCAAAACAGCAATAACAAATCAAACCAATGGATAAAAATAGACTCAATAAAACTTATAAAATAGCCACTTAAATAAACAGACATGATACATTACTATTATTACTATTATTAATAATAATATTTCACATTTTTCACTCTAAAAAAGAGACCCAAAATGGCTTTCAAAACCAATAAAATACAATTAAAAGCTACAAATATTAAAATGGAATTAAGCATGAACAGTATGAAAAATAAACAGTTAACATCCATTAAACCAATTAAAAACCTATTCATAGCCAAAACTGCAGTTATAATAATGATTATAATTAAAATGTATTATTGTTATTATATGTAAAATGTATTATATTATTAATATTATTACTATTATTATAATGGCCATACATTTTCCAAGTGGGAAGGCCAAAACTCTTTAATCTTATACATTATCCTATGGTCCCTTGTTGTTGTTCCTGTTGTTGTTAATTGACCATACATTTTCCAATCAGCAGGGCTAGCACCTTTCATCTTATCCCTAACCCTATTGAGTTGTTGTTGTTATTATTTGATACACAACAAGATTAGTACACAGCAAACAAGATCACTCTGCTGACTTTTGTATTGGATCACACATCAGACACTTCTCAAGTGTCTAGAACTGTGTGATGTATCGGACAATAATGGATGCAGATCCCAGTAGGGTGGCCTTCTGTAGCTGACAGATGATAATTTTGTCAGTGCCGATTGTGTTTAAGTGCAGGCCAATGTCTTTAGGCACTGCACCCAGTGTGCCAATCACCACTGGGACCACCTTGACTGGCTTGTGCCAGAGTCTTTGCAGTTTGATCTTTAAATCCTCGTATCGTGTCAGCTTTTCCAGTTGTTTCTCTTTAATCCTGCTGTCGCCTGGGATTGCAACATCAACTATCCATACTTTGTTTTTTAACATGATCGTGAGATCAGGATATTATTTTTGTTGTTGTTCTTAATTATTATTTGACCATACATTTTCCAACAATGAGAGCCATCACCTTTTAATCTTATCCCTTATCCTATTAGGTATTATTATTTTAATTTATAAAATGCTTGTGTAATAAAAGGTCTTGGCTTGTTGGAAAAAAGCAGGGAGGGCATTCCACCAAGCAGTCATTAACAAGGCATTATTCCATGTCCTCGCCCATTAAGTGTGGGGTGCTAATGGGACCTGCTTCTACATTAATCAGGTGTAAATCAGTACCGAATAAGCACTACTTTACCATTTGGGATCTCCGTGTTCAGGGCCACGGCGGTCTCGTACGTCCAGCACCGGGCCACATTGCGGATGGTGTAGCCGCCACCTCCCAGCATCAGCATCGGCAGGTTAAAGCTTTTTATGAACTCTACACACTTGGCATGACCTGGACGCGAAGGAAGAAGAGAGCAGCAAATGAAGGAAGGAGCATCAAGATGATGGGGAGAGGAGTGGAGGAAGAACTGGGGAGGGCTGGAGAGACTGGTCCCAGAGACAGAGACCACTCCAAGAGACATTTTGGAAAAAACAGCTTAACAGGGTTTGTTTCTGGATCTTGCACAGCTCTATATAGCACAACAAGGCACAACTTATAAGACTGCACCCATCAGTAAGGGACCCCAAAGTGGTACACAGTGAAGGAATGGGGCAGGAGAGAAGATGATCTAGTAAAGTGTAAAATAAAAGGGTAAAGGTATCCCCTTGACATTACATCTAGTCGTGTTCAACTCTGTGGGGTGGTGCTCATCTCCATTTCTAAGCCAAAGAGTCGGCGTTTTCCCTAGACACCTCCAAGGTCATGTGGCTAGCATGACTGCATGGAGCGCCATTACCTTCCCGTAGAAGTGGTACCTATTCATCTACTCACATTTGCATGTTTTTGAATAAAAAAATTACTTTTATTGTTGCAGGTAATCCATCTCAGAACAATGAGTAGACAGAGAAAAGAAAGTTACATAAATTTCGCAGAACAGTCCCTAAAGATGACCCTTAGGTCTCTGTGAATGTTGAGACCGAAAAAGGACTCCTGACACTCTTTTATTTTTTTAAAATGGGTAATAAAGCTCTAAAGACAACAGGAAAGAAGGGAAAGTGACCTCTCCATGAAGGCAGGAAGTAGAGTGTCACCTTGAGTGACATAGACCTAGGAAGGAGAGGTCAAAACAAGGCAGCAGACCTTCACCACAGGGCTCTCTCTGCCCTCAATGGCTCTATATCAGGCCTCTTAAACTCGCGTCCCTCCAGGTGTTTGGGCCTCCAACTCCCAGAAGCCCTAGCCAGCTTGTCTATTGGTCAGCAATTCTGGGGGCTGAAGTCCAGAAGACCTGGAGGGCCGCAGGCTGAAAAGCATTGATGCTTCTTCCAACACTTCATCGGATCAATGTAGGGCAACTTTCAAGGTATTTATTTGTTTACTATCTTTCTATCCCACTCTTCTCATCCCGATGGGGACTCAAAGTGGCTTAAAATTATGGCAAAAGTCAATACCACATTATATACAAAACAAAACCAATATGACACATTGAGCAATAAAATCAATAAAACATATAATGAAAAACAGATTAAAACCGGGGTCTTCAAACTTTTCAAACAGAGGGCCAGGTCACAGTCCCTCAAACTGTTGGAAAGCCAGATTATAATATGAAAAAAAATGAATGAATTCCTATACACACTGCACATATCTTATTTGTAGTGCAAAAAACACTTAAAAACAATTGTTGTTGTTGTTCGTTCGTTCAGTTGTTTCCAACTCTTTGTGATCTCATGGACTAGCCCACGCCAGAGGTCCCTGTCGGCCGTCACTACCCCCAGCCCCTTCAAGGTCAAGCCAGTCACTTCAAGGATACCATTCATCCATCTTGCCTTTGGTCGGTCCCTCTTCCTTTTTCCTTCCATTTCCCCCAGCATCATTGTCTTCTCTAAGCTTTCCTTCTTTCTCATGATGTGGCCAAAGTAATACAATATTAATATGAAGAACAATTTAACAAATATAAACTTATTAGTATTTCAATGGGAAATGTGGGCCTGCTTTTGGCTGATGAGATAGGATTGTTGTTGTTGTGTGCTTTCAAGTCATTTCAGACTTAGGTTGACCCTGAGCGAGGGCCGGGTAAATGACCTTGGAGGGCCGTATCCGCCCCCCCCCCCAGGCCTTACTTTGAAGACCCCTGGATTAAAACATCATACCTAGTCTAATAGTTGTTATTCGTGGTGCTGCAAGTCCAATTCCATATTACACTACTCCCCGAACACCTTATTCCAGAGTCAGGTCTTTAGCTTTTTCCTGAATACCAGGAGAGAGGGGGGCAATCTAATGTCACTGGGGAGGGAGTTCCACAGCCGAAGGGTCACCACTGAGAAGACCCTGTCTCTCATCCCCACCAGTCGTGTTTGCAAGAGGGGTGGGACCGAGAGAAGGGACTCCCCGGCAGATCTTAGTGTTCTAGTTGGTTCATAAAGGGAGATATGTTCGGACAGAACTGTTTAGGGCTTTAGGTAAAAGCCACTTAGGGCACATACAGCACATACAGCCGACCCACCCCTCTTTTACCTTTAATGGTCAGATTGAAGCAGCCCAATCTATCCCCCGACAAGGAGTCGGAACCACACTGCAAGACCACTGCGCTCGGCTGGAACGTCTCCATGACTTTGGACATCACCTGATCAAGGCAAACAAGAGTGCAGTTTCAGCATCTGGCTCAGGTATCACTGCTGCAAGTGTAAGAGGATCCAAGGTAGGCAGGCACCAGGACAACCTTTCTTCAAAGCGTGCACTAAGACAGTTCTATTTGCAGCTTTGGACTTTGAGGCATCACACTGTATTATCCATGTGAAGTCAAAAATTGCTTCCATTCCAACTTTTGGGGAAGGGGCTTGTTCTATTGTCTGCATTTGGGTTGAGAGTGGCAGTATATAAATATGGTAAATAAATAAAATGTCTGCAAGTTGCTTCTGGTGTGAAACACATGCCACATTATCACAGGATGTCTGCTCCCCACACCACTGGAGAAATTATGTTTAGCAGGTATTGTACCACCTGACATCCGTCGGGCAGTAGTTACCAATACTGAAAGGACCAAGGCATTGACATCTCCGGCCCATCCTCCGTTCGGATATGAGCCAGCAGGCCAATGCCTTAAAACAAGAAACAGCTTCCGAAGATCGACAGAGTTACTCGCAGGAACACCTCAGCAAGCGAGAGTCCAAAAGTGACATGCTAAAATCCAGCACCTCAATCAGTGGCTGAGATTGAATGAGTAACTCCCTCCTGGGCACGCAGAAGACTGGGCGACTTGGAAGGCGCTGAACAGGCTGTGCTCTGGCACCACGAGATGCAGAACTAACCTTAAGAAATGGGGCTACAAATGGAGTCCATGACATGTGAGTGTGGAGAAGAGCAAACTACAATGCAACCTAAGCAACATGCACAATGGGAGACCCTCTCACAGAGACACCAGAGTGGCCAGCTTCTGATCAAAGGACATTTAGCACAATGCCAAGTTTTCTTAATTTTTGTGTTTTTAAGTACATGTTAACTGTATCCCCAACTCGCTTCTGACACAATAAATAAATTGTTCAGACAGCCACCCCATCTTCATTCAGAAGCCACCCCCATCCTTTCCCAGCTCCCAAGTTCCTTTTTTGTGACACAACGATACCACTATGATCGGACATGGATGAAGCGAAAGAAGAGATTGGAGACAATAGCTACTTGGAGTGAATATATGTTGTCTGCTCTTCCTCCCCTGGTAGCACTGCGAAGGAACAGAATTCCAGCCTAAAAGTATTTTTCCAATATTCGTTAGCGTGTGATGAGACACTCACCACAGAGAAGCAATAAGAAACCTGAGTAAATCTACGTCCTCACAGTAAATGCCACTCTGGAGGCCAAGGAGTACCTCAGGGAGGCATAAAAAGAAAAGGGGAGCGTACCGGCTTGAAGATGGCTTCGTAGGACTCATCATCAATCCCGTCCCTGAGAGGGTAATTGACGGCATAGTACTTCCCTTTGCCTGCACCAATGTCCTAGAGAAGGAAAGGAAAGGAGGTGCACTGTGGAAGGACAGCCAGGGTGAAGTGGGTGGCTGGGCTTCTCCAGGGAAAGCGGTGGGGGTGAAGCCGGGGCCTCCGTTCTCACCCGCAGGTCCCCTGTTCCAGGGAAGTATTCGCCGTATTTATGGAAGGACGCTGTCATCACGCGGTCTGTGGTGTAGAACGCCTCCTCCACACCGTCACCGTGGTGGATGTCAATGTCCACATACAGCACTCTCTGGTGGTACCTGGGATTGGGAGAAATAAAAGGTCAGGATGGAACAGGGAGCCGAATCGTCAAAAACGCTACTTGCCGGCCCAGAAGCTCAGACGTAATACTCTTTCTATTTTAAATATTGCAGGAAGACAAAGTTTCTCAAGCTTTCCAAACCCTCTCCCTATCAGCAGGTCAAGCTAAGGAAAAGAGCTACTCCAAAGAATAGCAGAGTTAATCCTGTGCACATCCTCATTGTTGATCCACTTGAAACCAAACATCTTAGAACACTTGCCTATTGGCTGCCCCAAGTAGGGGAAGGCTAGAAAGAAACTATGCACAATTGATAGGATTCAATTTCCCCATAATACATTTCGCCCAGATTCAATACTAAGTCTTGAACTTTCCTATAGGCCCCTTAATAGAGTTCCTCATGTTGTGGTGACCCCCAATCATACAATTATTTTCATTGCAACTTCATAACTGTAATTTTGCTACTGTCATGGATTGTACTGTAAATATCTGATATGCAGAATATATTTTTGTTCACTGGACCAAATTTGGCACAAATACCCAATACGCCCAAATCTGAATATTGGTGGGGTTGAGGGAGAGGTTGATATGTCATTTGGGAGTTGTAATTGCTGGGGTTTATGGTTCACCTACAAACAAAGAGCATTCTGAACTTCAACAACAATGGCATTGAACCAATCTTGGCACACAGAATTCCCATGATCAATAGAAAATACTGGAAGGGTTTGAGTGGGCATTGACCTTGAGTTTTGGAGTTCTAGTTCACCTACATCCAGAGTGCACTGTGGACTCAAAACAATGATGGATCTGGACCAAAGTTGGCATAAATACTCAATATGCCCAAATGTGAACACTGGTGGAGTTTGGGGGAAATAGACCTTGACATTTGGGAGTTGTAGTTGCTGGAATCTATAGTTCACCTACAAAGAGTATTCTGAACCCCACCAACAACAGAATTGGTCCAAACGTCCCACACAGAACCCCCATGACCAACAGAAAATACTAGAGGGATTTGGGATGAATTGACAGTGATTTAGGGGAGATGTAGTTCACCTACCCCCAGAGAGCACTATGAACCCAAATGACGATGGATCTGAACCAAATTTGGCATAAATACAGGGTGAGGCAGCATAACTTCCATTTTTAAAATGTGCGTCATTCAGTCGGTTGAAGAAGTAGCGGAGCGCAAGTGGTCTCGTTCGAGAGGCAGGAGTATAAAGTTTTGTCCTGACACAGTTCAGTCGCCATCATGCGTTGGAACAGTGAGGAGCGTGCTTTTGCCATTGAGGCCTACTTTTCGAGTGGATTTGGAGTGGCTGGTCCGCTCTCCAGATTTGGCCCCTTGTGATTTTTTTTTCTATGGGTTTTTTTGAAATCCCGTGTTTATGTGAACCGTTCAAGGACCCTACAAGATTTGAAGACCAACATCCAAGAAGCAAGTGCCAACGTAACGCCTGCTATGCTGGCAAGAGTCATGACAAACGGCAGAAATCGGTTTACTCAGTGTATGGAGAATGGGGGACGTCATCTACCTAATCTGATCTTCAAAACTACGTAAAACAAAATTTTAGGTATGCGCCTACATTACAAAAAAAAATTCTGATTCATACAATGGGTTTTATTAAGTTTTGAAAAAAGGAAGGTATGCTGCCTCACCCTGTACCTGATAAGCTGAAATTTGAATACTGGTGGGGTTTGGGGGGAATTGATTTTGTCATTTGGGAGTTGCAGTTGCTGGGATTTATAGTTCACCTATAATCAAAGAGCACTCTGAACCCATTCCACAATGGAACTGCACCAAACTTGGCACACTACCTACATGGCCAACATTGAATACAGGTGGGGTTGAGGGGGGGCTGTTTTTGAATTCTGGGAATTGTAGTTCAGCAACACTCAGACAGCACTCTGAGAAACACTGCTATAGGCCATGGATTTATGAAGGGAATTGTAAAAAAGGAAACACACACATAGCCAGAAGAAGTAATACTTAGGAAAAATGTTTGCCAAAGCTGATCTTCATGAGATAGCAGCAGCTCCAGGGCAGACGCATAAAGAATATCTCATCCAGTGGAGATAAGCATGACCTATGTAATTAAGGCCTAAAAGCTGCTGTGTTGAGAAAGTAGTACAACTGAGTAATGATGTTGAGGTTCAGCGACATTAGAAATGGCCACTACTCCCGGGGATGGAGCTTAGAATCTTGGGGTCCAACTTACTTGAGCAACTCCAAGATGGCCAAGACAATGTCGTTGACGTAGCAGAAGCCCGAGGCCTCCGATTTCTTGGCGTGATGCAAGCCTCCTGCCCAGTTGACCGCAATGTCCGTCTGCTGTTTGTTCAGTTTCACTGCACTGGCTGTGGAGAGAGCACGAGAATGGTGAGGCAAAGCAAGAGAGCCCAGAGGAATGGGTCAGACCACTTTTTGAAAAAATCAAGACTTTGCTTGGGGTGCCTACGTTCTGCAATTGCAGGATTCCTGTAAATAGATAGACTTAACATCCAAAGCTTCCAAAACCCAACACTCAAAGTCCACTAGGTTCACTCTCATGGCGTGGCAACCTTTTAGCATCCAATTACAATAAGCTCTCCAATTTCACGGAAGTCAAGGAGCACAGGAAAAACCAGAAATAAAAAGTACTTTTTTCTAACCTAAGACAACACTTCTTTAGGAATCTCTAGGACCTCAAGGGGTGACTCTATGGCAAACAAGCACTGCACTATCCAGTTAAATTAGCCTACCTCTGAAGAGGAAAGAGATGTAAATCTTTCATGCTTCAATACATTTCTCATGTGAGTTGTCACTTACCAACTGAGCCTCCTGTAGAAAGCTGACAAAACTCAAACAAGCCGTCAAAGACAGGACAATCCTCTCCGACGTTGACTTCAAAAAGAAAATAAGAAGAAAAGATTGTGGAAAAACAAATATTTATTGAAAGGCACAAATAGAATCATCAGGACAGAGAAAGAGAGCTAGTCAGATTTTGAAATAGATTTTGTACCAAGGCAACACCACTTTGGGGGAGAAAGCAATATGAAAGCTAAGCAACGATGACAAGATCTGATGGAAATGTGCAGAAATCTGAATTGCATGAACACAATCTTCCCTCCAAATTAGTTCAGGTAATCTAGATATGTTGAGCACAAGCAGAAAGGAGGAAATCCTGCTGCTTCTCCCCCCCACCCCCCCCCCACCCCAAGCCAGCTAAGAGGAAGAAGGGGACTGAGGAAGAGACTTTAAAAACACCTGTCTCCTGGCTGTTGCTTACTACATCTGCCTGCCACCTCAGGAGGAGGAGGAAATACTATTGCTACTCTCCCTGTTGCAACTCAGAGTAGGCTTCACCTTGCTTCCACACACCACCACACAAGAGCTGTAGTTTTACCGTTTATTGAGGGGAAAAACCAAGTCAAAAATACAGAATAAGCATTGCAAAGTTCCAAAGATTAAGGTTAAATGTAGGATACAGTTCCAAAGATCTTCAGGTAAAAGCAGGAGACATAATCCTATTGGCAAAGTTCAAACCAGAGTCCCAGGTACAAGCAAGGAAACATTTGCCCCAAGAATCACAATGCAAGAAATCCCAAGCGTACTGCTTTCCAGGCTAAGGTTATTCCATGAAGCTTTCAGGTTAATAAGCTACGTTGAACTGACACTTTCACAGTTTCCAGAAGGCCGAAATACCGTCCCAACATCAAAACATTAAGCTCTCAGCATCATAAAAGCATTACGACGTTAACTGCGCCTGACCTGGAGATCAAGGCAAGCTTCTCGGGTCAAATCCTTATCTATACTTTCTGTATCATCGTGGGAAGGCACCTGGCCACTATTTCCTTCGTTAAAATTCCTTTCTGGTGAAAACAGCTGTGTTGATACTGCACTATCTGTGGGAGCCTCGGAAACAGGCTCAGAAATTTGAGGCACAGACAAAGAGCCAGGAAGCTGAAATCCAACAGGAATCTGAATCCTATCATCCTCATCGTCAGAAACTAGCTCAGCCACAACACTCCCCCTCCCAAGCCAGCTAAGAGGAGGAAGGGGACTGAGGAAGAGACTTTAAAAACACCTGTCTCCTGGCTGTTGCTTACAACATCTGCCTGCCACCTCAGGAAGAGAAGGAGGAAATCCTGCTGCTACTCTCCCCCCAAGCCAGCTATGAAGAAGAAGGGGACTGAGGAAGAGACTTTAAAAACACCTGTCTCTATGTAAATATTCAAAAACATTTAACTTACTGATGGCTCAATTAATGTAATTTTATTGGAATCTATTTTTATTTTGAAATTTACCAGTAACTGCATTTCCCACTCTAGGCTTATACTCGAGTCAATACATTTTCCCAGGTTTTTGTGGTAAATTTAGGTGCCTCAGCTTATATAAGGGTCGGTTTATACTCAAGTATATACGGTATGTTAACCCTGTCAGTATGTAATGTTATATGGTATGAAAATTACTTATAGTTTAAACTGTGTGATTTCAGAAATGCATGGGTTAAAACATAGAAATGTGTAGTACTGGTAGAGTGTCACTGTTGGAGCTTCCTGTGCTTACCGGATGAAGAAGCTCTGATAAGAGAGAAATGTGCTTCTCGCAGTGTGCTGAGATGTGAACGGGCATGATCAAAGGTTGTCTTGTATATTTTGTAAATAATAAAAGATAAAGTGGCGCTTTCGGTGAAAGCTGATTAAGGAGTCCAGTATCTTTACCAGTTCATGCCTTCAAGTAGAACTTGTAAGGTCAGAGCAGTTCAGATAAGGAAGTTGATTTATCTCAATTTACTAACGAACTCTTCCCTCAAACACACTTGGAAGAAAACGCAGAGGGAGAGACCACCAATGTGGACATCAGAAATGAGTAGGAAATAACACAACCATTCATTTGGGGAAGATACATGGAAATGAATGCAAGAGCTCAGAGTTTTCCAACTCTGTTTCCAAGCAATCCTACCGACCTACGGATCATCTAAAATGCTTCACATGTATTGTCTCAGTTTAGAGGAAGTTATTTTTGGGGAGGATGGTTCCAATGCTGATTGAAGGCTTCTGGGAGCTATTTAAAAAAAAACACACACACAACTTTCTCAGATCTTGGCTAAGACATAATAAAGCAAGATTATTCTTGCAATATTATTATTGCAAGGCCAATTTTAAGCTCCTTTTCCAATGTCTCTATTTCCTCCCTCTCTTACTCACAAAGAAGGAAGCGCAACTGCTTCAAGTTGGGTGAAAATATTGGTTTGCTCCTAAACCTAAGCAGCAGTTCCTTTGTTCATCCCCGCAAGTGCAAAACAAGCATTAAAGGGGAGAAGAAAACATCGACCCTTGAGGCTCAGGGTTCATAACTACAAGCCACGTTTTGTTGTTATGTCTGAATACAGCCACTATCTTCCTATCACAGGAAGATGGGTTTTCTTCATAAGGTTGGCACAAGAGGCAACACAAAGTGTGCTGCCAAGAAATTATACTTTCGCATTGCCATCTGCCTTACTTTGCGTTCTGTCACAAATGTCCTCCAACTATTTTTTATTTTTATTTTGTGTGTTTTGGAAACAAGATATTAATGCTGGGAAGGGTCATTTTTTACCCAAGAAGAGACCCTCCTACCCATCAAAGCTTACATCGCTGCATCTGCTTGCTGTATTCGGACATATTGTCTGGGCGAATTGAGCGCAGGAATTTGATGTAGTCGTCGCTGTGGTATTTGGTCATTTCTTCAGCACTGGCTTTGTAGGGTCTCTGGAATGAGACAATTTGGGGGAAAAACTTTTTAAACACACTTCCAAGACCAACATCCTTTCCAATGGGTTTTATACTCAGGAGCCTAAGCAGGATGGGAAAACAAGAGGCAATGAGAGGGCATAACTTCCATTTCTTTCATTTAATGCAATCAGGAGAAATGGTTTAAAAGCACAAAGAATTTGAGGTCCCGTCTAAGAGGTAAGGTTTCCCCTGACATTAAGTCTAGTCGTGTCTGGGGACTCAATTTCTAAGCCGAAGAGCCGGCGCTGTCCTTAGACACCTCCAAGTTCATGTGGCCAGCATGTGGCTGTTACCTTCCTGCAGAAGCAGTACCTATTGATCCATTCACATTTGCATGTTTTTGAACTGCTAGGTTGGCAGAAGCTGGGCCTAACAGAGGGAGCTCATCCCACTCCCCGGATTCAAACCAGCAAACTTTCAGTCCGCAAGTTCAGCAGCTCTGTGGTTTAACCCACTGCGCCACCGGTCTACATTGCCATACATGAACATTGTAGACTCACACTTCAATGCATTATAAGCAAACGTAGAGAGGACAAGGACACAGATTTTTAATATTTTGTCAATGAGAAGCTTGGAAATAAATTAAAATGGCTGATATAGAGTAAATCCACTACTCGAAAGACAGTTGCATCTGTCAAGTAGGAAAATTAGGTACCATCTATGTGTGAGGAGGCTAATTTAACTAATTTATGAGGCCATAAAAAAAGACACCAGCAAAGCACTCCAGCAAAAGCATGCGGGGAATGCAGAAGTACTTCATCAGTATTGCAGATGGACGATGAAAGCGACAGCTCCCCTGGCGGCCAGAAAAGTTAAATAGCCTCTGACGTCTGTCTGTAACTGTTGTGTGTCTTTGGCATTGAATGTTTGCCATATATGTGTACATTGTAATCCGCCCTGAGTTCCCTGCGGGGTGAGAAGGGCAGAATATAAATACTGTAAATAAATAAATAAATAAATAGGGGTCAAACTGGACGCACCAAAGACATTGCCTTCTATGGAGTTTAAAGAATATTTACAGCAACCAGTTTTGAAACATAAAAGCTAATACATAAACACGAATACATAAAGTGAAGACACTTTTAGTCAAAACAGATCTGGAAATCTGTTATACCGTATATGTGTTTTGACTATAGTTTTCTCTATGTCGTACATGTTTTGCTAACACTGTTCTGGTTTCCATAGTTCTATACTTTCTATCTTGTGATTCCCTGTCCTTTAGTCGCATCTCCTTATGATGTTTTCCAACAATGTAGGCTTTAAAAGGAAGACAGCTCTGCACTTTTCAACTTACATAGATCTCCATTTTCCTATAAAGGCCGTAGTTCAGGAGGAGGTTGTGGGTCATCCTAATCCTGTGGGGCTTCATGGGGTGGCCTTGGCCGTAATAGTAGTTTCCAATGTCCCCTGAGAAGAAAAAGAGAAAGATGAGACAAAACTTGCATCACGCTGAGGACATCTGAAACACCGCAGAAGATAATAAGGACCAAAAGGAGCAAAACTAGGAAGGGGATATTCTAGTACAGTGGTTAAACCTTTGTGCCAGCAGGACTGCTGGCCGATAGTCGGCGGTTCAAATCCAGAGAGCAGAGTGAGCTCCCATCTGTCAGCTCCAGCTTCTCATGCAGGAACATGAGAGAAGCCTCCCACAGGATGGTAAAACATCTGAGCGTCCTGTGGGCAACATCCTTGCAGAGGGCCAATTCTCTCACACCAGAAGCGACTTGAAGTTTCTTAAGTCACTCTGACATGAAGTGGCAAAATACTTGCAATGAATGCCAAAGGTTTCAGATACATTCTCTGGCATCTTTAGTTAAAGGGGAAGCAAGTAGGGAAATGTAAAAATGCTTGTGGCTTTTGACAACAGAGTTAAAACTTTTGAGATAGTAAGGTAACTATGTTTTAAGGCGTGCTTTTATAGATATATTTAAGTATGCTGTGCTCTGCCTCAAGCCGTAAGGAGAGGCAGGTAATACATTTTAAAAATATTATTACTATTATTATTGTTATTATTATAGAATGACGAAACTGTCTATGTTTGAGAGATTGGTGGGATAACAATAATATTTTCATGGGGTGCCTTTGAGCTAGGAAGCCCATATAACCTTTAATAATTTTATGATTTTGAGTATTGTTTTTAGCAGGGAGGATGGGATAAGTTAGCTATAATTATATATAATCGTATAAGTCATAATTGTTGTCTTTACAAATTGAAGAAAAACACATTGTTGAAAAATAAATAATATATAGATTAAAAAAGAGCAAATCACGTGACTCCCAAGCTGCTGCATGATTGCACTTCCCAGTTCATGTTTGCTTTACGATTTTATGATTTTGAGTATTGGTTTTAGTGGGGAGGATGGGGAAGTCAACCTTAATTGATGCAGAAAGAGATACAAGCCATATATGGGAAAAGTAGTGTCTTTACAAATTATATAGTAACACTTAAGATTTCTGGGGAGGAAAAAACAGATTTAAAAAGTGAGAATCAAATGGCTTGCAAGCTGTTGTGGGACTGCACTTCCCAGGATTGTTTGATAATTTTATGATTTTGAGTATTGTTGTAGTAGGTTGGGGAAGCTAGCCTTTATTGGATGCAGAAAGAGATACCGGTTATATATAGGGAACTTTACAAATTGTATAAAGATAAAGGTTTTCCTTGACATTAATTCTAGTTGTGTCGGACTCTGGGGGTACTACTCATCTCCATTTCTAAGCCAAAGACCTGGCGTTGTCCATAGACACCTCCTAAGTCATGTGGCCAGCATGACTGCATGGAGTGCCGTTACCTTCCCGTCTGAGCAGTATCTATTGATCTACTCACATTTGCATGTTTTCAACCTGCTAGGTTGCCAGAAACTAGGAATAACAATGGGAGCTCACCCTACTCCCCAGATTCAAACCGCCGACCTTTTAATCAGCAAGGGCAGCAGTTCAACAGTTTAATCCACTATGTCACCAGCAGCTCCAAATTATACAAATTGTATAGTAACACTTAAATTGCTGAAATAATTAAGAATAAACATACAGATTTTTAAAAAAATGAATCATGTACCTCCCAAGCTGTTGTGTGACTGCAGTTCCCAGTATTTGCTGGCTACAGAGTGCTGGATAGTGCAGTCCCAAAACACCTAAGGAATGCACACGTCCTTACCTCTCCATTCAATGGAGCTATGCCTTGACTCAAAATGAATCATTTTCCTAACTTCTGAATTTCGTCCAGCTGCGGATGAAAACTGGAATGGCAAGTGCTGGAAGATTAGAACTGGGATGGGCAGAAAGGGTGCAAAGCACAGGCCTCTCAGTAGCCCAACCGCCCACAGCGCCCACTTGTTGCTCAAGGGTTGTTCCAACGTCACGTCAGGGATGTGGGCGTTGCAAATTTTTTTTAAAATAAACACAAAGCTGTGTGCCTCCAGCATAGAGTACAGCAACATGCTTCTCAAATAAGAGAAAAGAGCAGCGAGGGTTGCCAAAAAGGGCAACCATATAATCCAGGAGTTGCGTCCCAGAAAGAAAGATGATGCGGAGGTAGCAACACCAGACAAGAGACTCAAAAAATGATTGTAGGTTGCCCAACGAAACCAATGAGTACTGTTTTCAACTGGGGTTTTACATTTATTTTTCAGGTTATTCAAGCCCCCAGAGAGGTGTTGCAGTTTGAATGTTGGATTAGGAATCAAGATTCAAGTCTGAGCTACAGAAAACCTTATCAGGTGATCTTATGCAAGCCTCAGAGGAAGGAAAGGGCAAAACCCCTTCTGAGGAAATCTTGCCAAGAAAACCTCATGACGGCCTTGGATAGGGTCACCTTTGACTTGAAGGCACAATATCAATACAACTATTAACTTGAACATACAGAGAAGAAGGTGTTATCTGCAGGCAGGTAGAAAAAAAACATTTCTTCCCATGATGCTTAAGTAGCTTATGGAAGTTACTTTAGCTCAATCAATAGATTGATAGATATATAAGATAGGGTAGATAGATAGATAAGGTGGGTGGGTAGGTAGGTGGGTGAGTAGATAAGACAGATAGACAGACAGATAAGATAGCAATGGTAGATATAAATATTTGGTGGGTAGCTACGTAGATAGGGAGATAGATAGGGTGGGTAGACAAATAAATAGGGTAGATCAGGCATGGGCATACTTGGCCCTCCAAGTGTTTTGGACTTCAACTCCCACAATTCATAACAGCTGATAAGCTGCCCAGAATTTCGGTGAGTTGAAGTCCAAAACACCTGGAGGGCCAAAGTTTGCCCATGCCTGGGGTAGGCAAGTAGATGATGTTGTTGTTGTTTATTTGTTCAGTCGCTTCCGACTCATGACCTCATGGACCAGCCCACACCAGAGCTCCCTGTCGGCTGTCACCACCCCCAGCTCCTTCAAGGTCAAGCCAGTCACTTCAAGGATACCACCCATCCATCTTGCCCTTGGTTGATCCTTTTTCCTTCCATTTCCCCAAGCATAATTGTCTTCTCTAAGCTTTCCTGTCTTCTCATTATGTGGCCAAAGTACTTCATCTTTGCCTCTAATATCCTTCCCTCCAATGAGCAGTAGGTAGCAGATAAGTAAGTAGATAAGGTAAGTAGACAGATAGATAATAATAATAAACTTTATTTATACCACGGCACCATCTCCCAGGGGGACTCGGGGCGGCTTACAAAGAACTCAAGGTGCAAACACATAAAACACAAAAATTGCAGAAACAATAACATAAAACAATAACAGCCAACATAAATATCTCACTTCACAAAACCTGCTGGTTAAAATCAGTAAAATACAGCAATAGCTGCTTGAATAAAACAACAATAATCAATCTCAGTCATAGAAAGATAGGGTGGGCAGGTAGGTAGATAGGGTTGGTGGGAGAGAGAGAAAGAGAGAGATTGTGTGGGTAGATAGATAGATAGATAGATAGATAGATAGATAGATAGATAGATAGGGTAGGTAGATAGCTAAGTACATAGGCAGGTAGACAGGATGGGTAAATAGTTTATTGTGTTTTAACTTTTGTTTAATATATTTTAATATGTACTTTTGTGGATGTATTTTAACTATATTGTGCCCCACCTCACACTGTAAGAAGAGGCAGGTCATAAATTATTTATTTATTACTGTTACGGCTACAATATAGGGAAGCCATTAGGGAAGCACTTAATGGAAAAATGCTCATCATTCCCATTAGAAAAACTGAATTATACTCAACTCTCTACCTTTGCAGGTGTAACTTTTGTGGATTTGATCACTCGCCGATTTGATAAACACATTCTCTGCGTACACTTCCTGACAGGAGGAACAGTGAAAGGAAATGGAAACTAGGCCAAGGAATGAGACCCACAGCTCTCAGGAGAAGACCCCCGGGGAACATGCAATGCATGCACACATTATAAGTCCACAAAGCATCCCTGTCGTCTCCTCCTTGCCTCAGGTTTAGGAGGTTTAGGAGGCGGCTCCAGCAAGGAAACCCAAAGCGGAAGTGGCCCCAAGGGGAGAAACTGTCCCTGGGCTTGAAAGCAGCTTGCAAAACCAGCATGTACTATGCTTAAGCAGAAAAAAAGTGGCATCCATAGATATAGGATGATGAAACCTGACTTGAAAACAGTCAATGGAAAGAGATCTAGGAGTCTTAGAAGACCATCAGCTGAACATAAGCCCACAGTGTGATGCGAGCCAATGTTATTCTCAGTGACATCAATAGGAGAATAGTGTTCAAATACAAGGAAGTCCTACTCCCACTCTCTTCTGCTTGGTCAGACCTAACCTGGAATAACCTTGCGCCCAGTTCTGGGCAAAAGCAATTCAAGAAAAATATGGAGCAGATGGAAGGAGTCCATAGAAAAGTCGCCAATGGAATGAAAACTATAAATCCCTTTGAGGAGTGCTGAAAGAGCTGGGGATGTTTTGCTCGGAGAAGTGAAGAGGACATGAGGGACAGATTTAAATACTGGAAAGGGTTTCACATTTTTTAAGGTGATACCATTGATTAATGCTTAGAACACGGGTTAGTCACTTTCACTCAGATAAATACAATACGTAAAAAGGCAACAATATAAAAGAGCAACAGGATAAAAGGACAGCAATATACAACATCATAAAAGTACTACATAAAAAATGGGTCTACAGGTCTTGCCTATTAACATTCAATACCATTAGAATACAATATAACATCTATATAAATAAATAATGTAATGTTCATTTGTAGGATTAACATAACTCAAAAACCACTGGATGAATTGACACCAAATTTGGACACAATACACCTATCAGGCCAATGAGTGACCATCACTCATAAAACACTGAAAAACACAGCAGAAGAGACTCAAAAAGCAAAAAAAAAAAAAACCCCATCCCAATGCATTACAACACATGCACAAAACCATATATGCACAAACACACACATATACA